GAATAGGTTTTAGTTTTTTATGTTACTGAATGTTTTTAACCTCTATATAGAATGTGTTTTATAGGTAGTATTTCAGACATTTTAAAGCCATGTTAATTCCAATTTAGATATTAAAATCTCCTAGTCAGCTTTGGAGATATATGTTATTAGAGCACAGTTCAGCTGCTTAAAGTTACTACTGTCAACTATGCACAAAGAACATTTTCTAACTGTGAAAGCATAAAATAGAGCATTTGAGAAAGTTTAAGGAGATTGCTGGTAAGAAAACTGCATGGAATGTTATCTTAAAGAGTAATTTCAAAGGCTATCTAAGTTTTAATAACCCAGAATGTTTTTACTTTCCTGAGATATTTGAACAAATTTAGATCCTAAGACAGTTCTGTTTTACTATCTAGATGGACCATGTGAAGTGATGACCTGATATTTAATTTTGAGAAGGTCAAAAGCAATGTGTTTATGCTAGATGTTGCTACTAGGCCATGTAGTACCACTAGACCTTATTTATATCCTGAAACAGTTGAAGGTATGTGAGTCCTGAGGATTTGCTATGTTCCAGAAGCATTGCTGAGACTCGATCCCAGTTTTAATTCTTAGGTTTGAAGTGCTCTGTGTTCTCACCACTATGGGAGAGTCCGGTAATCTGCTGTGGGATCAGAATCTGGTAAGGGATCCAGACCCGTCAGGACCCTTGCAAGGCCTCAGTCAAACCAAGTTTTTAAATATAGTGAAGTCCAACTTACCAGTTTCTTCTTTCATGGATCATGCTTTTGGTATTGTATCTAACAAGTCATAACCAAACCCAAGGTCAGCTGGATTTTCTCCTGTTATCTTCTAGGAATTTTGTAGTTTTGCATTTTACATTGAGGTCTGTGATTCATTTTGAATTAATTTTTGTAAAATTAAGTGAAAGATCTTTGTCTGGATTTTTATTTTATTTTATTTTATTTTTGGTATGTGGTTGTCCATTTCCAGCACCATTTGTTGAAAAGACTGTCCTCTCTTGAGAGGGAGGTTTCGGTAATGGGCCACAATAATCAACAACATTGTATATCGACAAAATAAAATAAAAGAAAAGAAAAAAAGAAAAAACTGTCCTTTCTTTATTGAATTGCCTTTGAGCTTTTATCAAAAAACACTTGACTGTATTTGTGTGTGTCTATTTCCAGGCTCTCTATGCTATTCCATTGATCTGTTTCTCTCTTTTGTCAATATATCATGCTGTTTTGATTACTATGGCTTTATAGTAGAGTCAGTTCTCTGACTTTGTTCTTCTTTGATATTGTATTGGCTATTCTGGGTCTCTTACCTATTCATGTACTTGGAATATTCCTCCATTTATTGAGATCTTCTTTGATATTTTTCATCAGAGTTTTATAGTTTTACTTATAAAGATCTTGTGCACATTTTGTTATATTTATGCTTAAGTACTTCATTTTTGGGGGGTGCTCAAGTAATTTTTAAATTTAAGTATTATTTGGATATTTATCCGAGTACTCATATTTATATAAACTAGTAAGTGTTTAGATGTAGAAAACTTATTTACAAGAAATAAGGAAGTGAATGAATGAATCTTAGCATCTAGCAGTGTTGGTTTGTTATGTGAACTACTCTGAAGTTGTGTCCCTGAAGTTGCCAACCTTTAGGTAGACTACTCTGTTTTCTCCAGCCCAATACTCTTCTTTATTTTTTCTTCTCATCCTACTTTCCTTTTTCTTGTAGTAATTAATCTGTTCCCTTTTCTCTTATCCTTCCTCAATCCTAGTATTTTTTTTTTCTATCTCTTCTCAATATTCACCTACTTTTTTTTTTTTTTTTTTTTTTTTTTTTTTTTTTTTCCCG